TTTGGTATAAATTTTTTTGTGCCTTTATCATATATTTCACAAAACTTGACATACATCTCATTCACTTCCTTGCCTAGCATCAAGTCTGTCCAATTATACTCGCTAATAAAATTTCTAAGGTCACCATAATGTCCTCTCCTGAAGTCTGGTTTTTCAACTGCTTCAACCTCCTTATTTTCTTCCAGCTTATAACGCATTGCATACTTTATTCCCAAAAAGACATGGTCACTTTTACCCAAGGGAGGAAGGTACTGAATGTCAAATATCTCTTCCTCCTTCCTGGTAAATATCAAATCTAGCATGGAGGGAACGTCCCCTTCCCTCATCCTCGTAGCTTGTTTAACATGTTGATACAAGAATGTTTCCAGGATGAGGTCTACAAATTTACAGGTCCAAAAATCTTCTGTTTTAGCTTCATATGCTTCCCAGTCTATGGATTTCAAGTTGAAGTCACCGACTATCAACAGTCGTGATTTATCGTTATCCGCTCTCGCTATAATCTCTCTCATTATTGTTATAAGACCTTCACGTTTACTATCTAGCTCCTCCTTTGACCATGTGCTGCTTGGCGGTGGACTATATGCATTTATTATCATTAGTTTATCATCCTCATGGCAGATCTCTAGTGCTATTATGTCAACTTCTTGTGGATTGGCAGTCATTATTTCCCTCACCTTTAGGTGTTCTTTTACCAGCACAGCAATGCCACCGCCTTTCCTAATTTTTCTGTCCCGTCTCCAAATTGAGTAGCCCCTTGGGAATATGACCTCATTTAAAATTACATCTTCAAGTTTTGTCTCCGTGAGTGCAACAATGTCCGGTGTCTGCAGCTGTATTACATCACTTAACTCCAGTATCTTCGATCTCACTCCATCTATGTTGGTGTATGCAATCTTCAGGAACTTGTTCCCCCTCTCCTTATTCTTCACTCCCCCTCTCTCTATTGATTTTGTTAGTTTGCCTTTATGTACCACTTTACTGGTTTGCCTACCCCTATCACTTTGTAGAAAAAAGAATTTATTTCTTCTTCATTCCTGCTCTCATTTAAATGTTTTGCCTCGGCGAGGTTCAGTTTCAGCTTCTCTCTATCTTCTTTTGAAAGATCTCGTCTTAACGGCCACCCTTTCCCATCCTCATCACTTTGCAATTTTCTAGCATTCCTTAGTACTTCTTCCATCTGTTTGGCACTGTTTAGGGTGATCCTCAAAGGTCGATCTTTCCCTTTTACGTACCTGCCTATTCTCCTGTAGTCGCACACATTCTCTATGGTTGTAAGACCTTCCACGAGGCCAACAATTTTATCTACTACTTTAGCTTCTTCTACAGCTCTTTCTGACCTAGATGTTATCGCCTTTTCTTTGCAGCCAAAAATGATCAGGGACTTACTCCGATCAACTGTGTTTTGCACCAACTTTGGGTTAGATGCCAATTCTTTTCTCACTTCCAGCCTAATGTTTGTTTTATCTTGATTGCTGCAGTGTTTGACTTCCTTTACTGCTTCTTCTATTTTTTCCTTCTCCTTGGCCACTTGTGCACTGTTCTATTCCCTGTGTAACTTCCTCCATCTGTGTTGACAAAAGCTGTTTCTCCTGTTGAATTTCCTTGCCTAACCTATTGTAGTCATTTATGTTTAAATTTACTTTAACTTCTTCCAAAGCTATTTTTAAGAGTTTATTTTCTTCTTCCATGGCTTTGCAATTTGTTTCCAATTGATTCTTATCCTTGCACAAGTCTTTCACTAGACCCTCAAGACATAAAACTTTGCTATTCAAATGGTCATTACTTTCTTTCAATTTACTAATTATTTCTACATGAGAGTTCACTATAGTATCAAAATTTACCAACTTGTTATGTAGACTGCTAATATCAATGCTTTCTTCATTGAATCCCTCAAAATCAAGCTCTGTTTTGTTTTTCCCCTTGCCAGTGGCCATCTTGAATGTTCTTCTCTGCACTGTAAACACTAGGGCAACTTTTTCTCATCCGATTTTTCACTTCCCTTAGCACTTTCCTGTTATCTCACCTATTTTTCAAGAGCACTATACCTTTATTTTCTCTGGGACACCACTCACTACCATCAACCTGTACTACAATACTTAGGATTGTTGAAATATGCTGGAGCTCCTCTGCTGCAAGTGTTGACCCTAGGGGTGTCACCTTTTTGACACCCTAGGTGTGTGGGTTGTGGTGCTGGATATGTACTCACCTGGTTGGGCTCGTCTGGTTGTGCTTGCAGGGTTTGAGCTCCGACTCTTTGGTCCCGCCTATATGGAAGAACATGCAGGATAGTACCAGTGGAGAGCAGTGGTGCCATAGGCACAGTCGGGAAACACTATAACCATCAGAGGTCTGTGGGTGTTAAACGTCCTCCCTGTGAGCATAAGACGTATTGCCGGTACATCCGTGGTCCTCTTCAAGAGAACACTAGCCTGTTTTCAAATAGAGGTTCCGGACCTTCCTGGCTGTGGTGGGCAGGTGGGCCTGCAGGCTGCTCCAAGCAACAGCCTGGTGGACTAACCTCTAACCAGTCAAGCCTAGCCTCGGGCCGGGCATGGGGAGTAAATGAACTCCCGGAACCCCATCAAGCAGGTATCGCCGCCGTCGGTTGCCTGGTGTGCAGGTTCCTGGACCTGCTGGGTTCTGTCGTGTCTCCGTTGGCCCTGTCTGGAGTCGGCCTGGAGTCTGCCTGTTCTCTGCCTTTGCAGAGACTAGTTGCTGCATACATGTTGCGTGTTGTGTGTGGTGCATTGGTCACGTGTTTCGCGGTGGCGTGTCCTTGTTCCTGTGTCAGGTTGTGGTGTGGCACTTTATTGCTGTTTTGTGCCTGGGGTTTGCGCATGGGAGTTTGCTTGTGTTATTTTTCGTGGTCTTCGGGTCCCTGACTTGGCCCTTCCATGTGCGTGGGGTTCAGTCCACGCCTGATGGTCCACCCCCGGTTGTGTTTCCTGGGGTTTGAGCTTTGGCTCTTTCGTCCTGCCTCTTCCCTGTTGCTACCCTGGCATCTCCTTTGCTCGGTTTTGCCTGCACTTGCTGCTGTATGGGGGGGGGGGTCGGTTTCTGCCGCTTCCCTTCCTTGTGCGTTCCCTTTGTTTCCTCCTCTGCTGCAGGGTTTTTTTTCATCCGTTCCTTGGCTTCTTGGGTGTTTCTTCAGCCTGTGCCATATGGTGCGCCTGTGTGTCTTGGTCTGTTTTTGTTGCTCGTACCCCTTGGTTCGGGTACTGTTCTGGTGGCAAACCTTACACTTTCTTTGATTTTCCTGGCTTGCCCTGCCTGTTGGCTTTTCAGGGTCTTGCGATGTCTTGCGTCGGACGCGGCGTTTCTGATCTCCTGACAGGCTTGCTCGCATTGGGGAGCTTTCTGTTCGGCAGACGTTCCATCTCCTAATTTGACGGCTTGGGCTTCGTTGGTGGTCGCACCCGAGATCTTCCCGCGGCTCCGCCTCTTCCTGGGCTTGGATGCGCCTTGTTGGGGCTTATTTCGTTCTGCCTCGCGTGTCTCGCCTCCGGTTGGTGATCTGGTGGTTATGTTGTTGGTGTCCCACCTGCGTGCTTCTTCTTGGCGGCAGTATGGGGTATTTTGGCGGTCCTTCCTTTTTCTCCTGTCCCTTCTTAGGTGGCTGCGGTTGTAAGTGTCACCTTCGTTTTCTGGTTTGGGTTGAGGGCCGTCGTCTTGCCACATACTGTCGCCTCGTATCGTGCGGCGCTGGCGGAGCCGCTTCGGCTTGCTTTCAGTCTTGGTGCTTGCTTTTGCACCATTAGTAAGCTGTCTCGTGCGTTGTTTCACCTACGGGCTGTTTGAGCGCCGCTTGCACCGTCCTGGTCTCTGGTCAGCATGCTCTGTCTTCTCAGTTGGTGGTGCCCCTTCGGTTCAGGTTTGTTTTTCGACGGCTCTTTTTTTTTCTGTTGGCATTTGCCTCTGGGGGTCGGGTCGCTGGGCTTCTTGCTCTCCTCTGCAGGGATTTTGCTCCTTTGGTCTTGGCATTTTGGTTGTTCGGTGGCAGCCGTCTCCATCTTTTCTGGCACGGGATGGGGCTGCTGCGTTCCGAACGGGTCCTTGGTTTGTTGGTGTTGGGTTGGTTGGGCCGGGGGTGCGTCATGTTTTGTGTTCAGTGGCGGCCCTCCACTGTTAATTGCATGCCGCGGGTTTTGAGTTGATCCGGTTCCGTTTTTTCCTGTTCGCAGGTGAAGGTGTCCCGGGTTGTCCACCGTGTTATTGCGGCTAGCCTGCCTGTGTTCTTTCCCCATGCCCGTGGCGTTCGTGGCTTCGCTGCTCTTGCTGCCATCTGGGCGGCGTGTCCTTGCTGTCATTCGGGCATGGATCTTTTGGTGCTCATACAGGGGCCTTGCTGCTCGTTGTCTCGTGTTGTTCCCGGGCCCTTTCAGGGCTGTGTCGCCTTGGGTTGACGTTTGCTGCCAGTTGTCTCGCTTCTGTTGAGGGGTGAGTGGTGTCCGCCTCCCGGTTCCGTCCCTTTGACTTTCCTCTGTGGGTAGTTAGCTCCCGGGAGCCTCCGGGTCTCGCCCAGAAAATGGCGTTTCATTACATTCAACGCTAGTTTTATTGCTTAAAACGTTAAAATTGCATCCCATGAATTGCCCAACAGATAAATTTTGGCACATAGTGCTCTCTAAATTAGTACCCATGTGGCGTAGTTCAGTAGTTTATAACTCGGGATCACATGATGCTGACAAGCTCATTAGAACATTGGGAATGAGTGTCACATCAGTACAGAGGTACTGTACTCAGTAATATTCACTAACAACCCAGAATTTATTTATGCATCTTGTTTACTGTATTGAATTTGTATACATATAATGAACTCTATTTATGAGTGTAGATTTGGTGTGCAACATACTGTAACTGTTATCAAATTCAGCAATACTGCATATATTAATTTCAATTAAAAGCTTGTTATCCAAAAGTTTAATCAATTTTGGTAAATGGTAGTAAATTTGTTATTCATATTTCTTATTGCCTATACATACTGGCACTTCTTTTAACAGGAAGTGAAACTTCTGTTTCCCAACTCTCAGCGTATAAACCGAGGTAACTACGAGAATAAACAGCTGATAGAGGCGTGTCGAGCAAATGAAGTGACAGATTTTATTATTCTGCATGAAACAAGGTTAGTTTATTAGCATTGTTGTAAGTTTTCATATAACTTAGATGTATTGTCAGTGGTGTTGATTATGTATTGGCATTAATTTTCAATGCACGTAATATATTGCAGGTGTTTTATCCATGAGATATTGCAACCACCAATCACACCTCGTAAAAGTATGTTCAGAAACTAGTTTTGTGCTTGTTGTTGGCAAGTGTAGAGAAGGAAAAATAATAAATAAAATTCCTCCATGCACTGCATTGACCCCTTACACTGCTCAGGGGTCCTGGGGACATTTACACCCCTGTGCGCAAGAAAAAAAATTCAAAATTTTTTTTTCGTCTTCTAAACATGTTAATTTGTGTCCCCTGAGCACGGGAAAAATAAAAAAAAATCGTAGGTGACATATTTTGGGCGTAATTGACCGAGGAAGTCTGGCAAAAAGTGGGCGTTGACAGAGCGGTCGTCAGACCTGGTCAGCGTCACCCGGGCTGACAGATGGGAGTTGCCACAAAGATATTACCTAATTGTTTCAATGTCTCCGATTGATTTTTTCTTAGTTTTTTTGCAGTAATATTATTCAACAGTGTGTATTGTAATATATTTATATAATAAAAGTGGTGAATAATCGCTATACTCAAAAGTACGGTGTGCATATTAGTGATTCAATTATTATGTTTAAAAAACAATAAACATATAGTTTTGCTGCTATTACACTCTATACACAGGTTATATATAGTATCTGCATGTTTTGGTCACCATAACGAACCACTAAGTTCGTATTGAGAGTCGAAAAGCAACGAAGAGTTACCGCCACACACCAGCCAGCCACTCGCTGCCACTCCCTCAACACACGCACTAAACTTTCTTCCCCAACAATATCATTTGTGGTGTTATTACACTATATACAGACGTTATATATAAGTATGTATATATTTTGTTCACCACAACTGTACAGCTAAGCTGATATAGTTAGTTCAGGCACTAAGAGTCGTCGCTATACACAGATGGCGGTTGGCGGCTCCCTCACTCATTCAAGGTCACACGCACTAAACTTTCTCCCCCAACAATACTGTTTGCAGTGTTATTACCCTATATACACATATTATATATAAGTATCTACATGTTTTATGCACCGTAACTGTACACCTAAGCTTGTAGTGCGCCCAAAGAGCATAGTGGCCACCCTCTAAACAGCTAGACAAATCGTGCAGACGATGTCACCTCCGTCACCCATATGGCTCCTCCCAGCATAATCCTTTTGCTGTTATTACACTAATATGCACATTATATATAAGTATCTACATTTGTGTTCACCATAGAGAACCACTGACCTGGTATGGTGAATGCAAACAATAACAGGTAGCCACACAGTCAGTAAACGATGCTGTCTCCCTCCGTCTCTCAGCATCACTCCTCCCACAGCGATAATTATTACAACAATCCTGCTATTATCACAACCCTGGTTATTTATATCACAGTCATGGGTCATCTGTTATATTGTCATCGCTAAATAATAACAATTATATATTTATTTTGACATTTTTCGGCGATGCTGTGGTCACAAGCTGAACAGCAATGCTGTTCGCTCATGCTGCGTGCGCCGGCCTTGGTTGCTTCAACAGTACTGTGCCTCTCACACCTGAGAATATTGCCCACGATTTAAAAAAAAAAATGGCGCCTGTTTACAAGAGCCCTGAGGAAGCTAATGTGAACCCCGTGTAGCCGCGGGCCATTTGAATCGGGCCTGGCACCGTATGGCGTATATATACGCCATGCGCACCGTGGGACATGTTACTCAGGGTGTATATATACACCATGCGCAGTTTAAGGGTTAATCATAGGATTTAAACTTGATAAAAATAAAAATTCGGCATTGAATGTATTGAAATGCTTTTTTCTGGGGGGCACTCAATACCTACCTGATGCTACGGCCTAGAAGCAACCAATTCTTGATGAACACTTCACGACTGGATGACCTGTGAGCATATACCAGGGATGCGTGGGGATTATCACAAAACTGGGCAAAATGACCAGATAAACATGACCCAGCATAAACTGGACAAACCAAATGGGGGATCTACCACTTGGCTCCAAAAAGGGGCTGCTAAACATGAAATGGAAAAACTTGATTATGTAGTGCAGTCACAGGCTGCACTACACCACTGGCTGAGAAGGTGGCTTGGCTAAACACAAGTCTAGTGGTATAAACAAAGTTTTATACCATAGAGTGAAATGACTCCCATACCCAACAGGTGAAGTGATGGGAACAGGAAGTGTGACTGTCAGAGATCAAGAGCACCAAATTGCACCCTAGAAAACCCCCACACACAGCAATTTCAGGCCTTGAGGCAGGCGAAACCATGCCTGCCCACCAAGAACGGGATCGGAGGAGAAAACTGGCTGCCTAACTGTCTATAGACCAGCAGACAGGCCGGACACATAGTGCTTCGGCGATGCAGAGACCAGACACGGATCTTAGTCATTTGGCAAAAGGTGCCATATGTCACCTAGAACAAAGCTATTAAATCCTGCTACCCTTGTGTACCCACTGGTAAAGTGTCAGTATAGAGATAGCTCCAAGAGCGAGGGAGATGCATAAGGCACTCTAGCAAACTGCAAGAAAGTAGTAGTCATCAACCTGCACTATCAGCAAGCAAGATACCTTGAGAAGAGGCAACCCAAACCCTGGAGAAGCAGGGGCAGTGTAAGCCTAGAGAGAATTGTCAACATAGGGAACACTCAAGGTTAATTGCACAGAACACACATGTAAAGCAAAATACTTTATGGAACAGAATAAAACTGGCGCTGCACAGAAATATTGTTCCAGGGCTAGCCAATGCAACTTAAAGTTGGAAGGTAACAAAGGTCCCAGGAGAGTTAAGTATCTCCAGTCGCATAATAAGTTTGAGAATGACTTGACTTGTTGGCCAAAACCCTGGATTGCCTGACCTGCCATCTGGTGTCAGGTTAGTCTATCTAGGTGGTAATTTCACCCCAGTAATGATTGTTTGCATTGTTTTCATCAGTTTACAAATATCTCCAAGCCGTTGTTGCTTGTTTCGGGGTATTTTAGCTTTCTGGAGGGAGTTTGGTCTTTTGATTTGATTTAAATCTTTGCCCCAGGTGAGTCTTATTTTAGCTTTTGCTGTAGTTAGCAACAGAGAGCCATTATTTGGCCCGTCAGAAAACAAGCATTGAATGTAATAAAGCACTTCTTTCTGGACTAGATGGGAGGGCTCAGTGGGTCCCTGGGTTTTCCCTCCTTGTCAAGTGCATAGATGGGCTCATGACTGAGAGAGCCAAAGTGGCAATGTAGAAGGACATGGTGTCCAGGCACACAAAAATGAAGGCAGAATTGTAGAGCAAACTGGTGATATGAATAAGGAGAGAAAAAATGAGACGAATGAGAACACAAATGAGAAAGACAAAAGCAACAAGGAGAAAGATAAGGGCAATACCGAGAATGAATGCAGAAACGAGAAAGTTGGAACAAAAACACAGAGGTAGCCAAGTCGTGCACGGGTACAAACAAGAATAATACAATCACAGATGAAAATATTTGCAGGTATTATGCAAAAGGACAGTGCAGATATGGGCCCAGAGGCACGGAATGCACATTCATGCACCCACGGAAATGCCGAAACTGGTTAGGGAAAGGCAGATGTCGTTTTGATACAGAGTGTAGATATTTTCACCCTAAGCTATGCAAACTCTCAGTTAATGAGAGGAAATGCTACAATCTTCATTGCCCTGATTTCCACATCAGAGGGACACAGCGCTATATAAGAGAGGAAGTCCAATATAATAGCCCGGGAATTTTTTAGAGGCAGACAGAAACAGAAACAGACAGGCAGAAACGTCGCAGGAGTATGGATGGAGAGGGGGAAATGCCCAAGACTGGACTACGGTTCGTCATCAAGCTCACACATACTACACCCCTCAACTACACAGAGACTACCACACTCCCCAGTATCACTTCCAAAACTGGACAAACCATTGCCACAACAACACACCCTGGGTCAGGGTAGAGAGGAGGGAGAACTACCAAAACCTTCCAGAAGTGATGCACTATGGACAATCATTCATATTTGCAAACATTCAAGGTTTAAAGCCAAAGTCAAGAAATAAAGTTAAGTTCATAAATGGCCTCCTATTAGAGTCAAACGCAATATTTGGGGCATTCACGGAAACTCGTACAAAAGATTACATGTATGGTGAAATCTGGATTCCAAATTATAATTTATATAGATGTGATAGAAAAACTAGGTCAAATGGAGGAGTAGGTCTGTATATTAAAGAGGACCTGGTATGCACAGAACTACTAAACTCAACTAATGAGGTGGTAGAGGTACTTGCAATTAAGGTAGAGAAACTAAACCTAATTATTATTCTAATATATAAACCGCCAGATACAACGGTTGAGGAATTCACAGAGCAAATGCACAAAATAGAGAACATCCTTGATAACCTAGCAAACCCAGCTCCAGATATTATCTTCCTTGGAGATTTCAATTTACCGAGTCTAAGATGGAGAATGGCAAACACAAATATCATACCAGGAAATGACCCGGGAAATAACCAACCACAGGTCAGAGAACTTTTGAGATTCTGTGACAAATTCTCGCTCAATCAACAGATTACAGAACTAACTAGGAACAAAAACACACTAGACTTGTTGTTCACAAACTGATGAACTAATCAGAGACATTACAATCTCAGATACTACATACTCAGACCATAAGCTCATTGAAGTGCGAACTAGCATAAATAATGGTAGTAGGTCTAAGAGACCCAACAAGCGAGAGGGAGTATTCAATCAATTCAATTTCAACAATAAGAGGATCGACTGGGAAAAAATAAATGTAGACCTTGCAAACATTCAATGGGAGACGGTCTTAAGCGACAAAACTCCCACACAGGGAATAGCTCAACTGACAGCTGAAGCGTACAAGGTCTGCCTGAAGCACGTGCCTGTGAGGAGGGGCAGAAAGAGAACGCAGACGACTGTACAGGAGAAGGAA